GACAGTGCCAGGTAGGGGTTGTGAACAACCCCCCATGTTCTACCTCTGGTTCTGTCAGGACCATCATTCTCATCAGGTGAACCCTGAGCTGAGCTCCCAGAGAGGCATCTCGCAGCAGCTCGGCACCCTGTAAAAAGGAAAACCAGGAGCCAGAAGGAGATTCATAATGATGTGATTCCTGCCTGTGCCCTACACATACCGAGGATCTTCCACCGTCCCAGCCAGATGCACTGCCAAGGTGACACACCGGGTCATTAGAATGGACAGTTATAAAATCTGCAACTCACCGGGGAAAGAAACAGGCAGATGCATAAAATGCACCTGTTACAAACAGAACCAGGATTCCTCTGAGAAATAAACTCAGTGGAAGCCACCAAGTCTGTCCACTAGATGTAACTAACAGGATTAAAAGCCTCCTGGAGAGAGAGAACCAGGGATTTCACAGGGTGTGGAAATGAATGTCAAGACCCCTCCGAGTCCCCCAGCCCCTGCCATCCTCATGAACACACAGCGATACGTTCCTGCCTGGAGCAAGGTGGGCAGCGCTGAAGAAATGAATAATAGAATGTTAAAAGCCATACAGCAAAATGATAGATCAACTCAAATACAGCCCAATCCAACACCCACTGAAATCAATGGGCGTTGAAGGATAAACTCCTAATGCTGGAGTCAGCACCCAAACAGCTACTAAGGAAACGAAGGGACACATTTTCCAATTGGGGCTTTCAAGCTGCACTCCCCGCGTTGGTGAATGCCCTCCTTTATGCTTGCAGCTTCCTGGATGAGGGGACAATGGCCCAGGCAAAGCAAGTGGCTGCACACTGAAGGGGCTGCTTTGCACCCCAGTCCAGTATTCTGTACGTCCCCAGGGGAGGGGCGCTCCCACTCACTTCTGTGGAGGCCCTTCCAGAACATTTGGCTAGGGGCTTAGCCAGACGCCCCCCCCAGAGGTCCCTTCCAACACAAGCCACCATAGGCTCAGGAAATGTGGCACTGAAACCAAACAGAAAGCCACTCACGATGTTCAGGTTGGTAAGGATGTACCTCTCGGTGTCCTCTTTGTGGAACTGATAAACATCGGGGCCCACTACCACCAGCAGCTCCAGGTGCATGACTCTCCCCTCTGCCCTTTTCCAGAGACGAGGAGATTTTCTTTCTACAACGTGAGGGAATACAAGGGAGATTAGGATGGAAGAAGGCATGGAAGACCCATAGGTCCATCCCAGCCTATTGAACACTTATGAGCAATACATTGCTTCCTCCAGACACTTAGCTAATTCCCATCTGCCCTGATTTCTAGTAGCTGCTGCTGCCTCCCTTGGTAATTTATCATGCACAAGATATCCCACCTACATACCCTGAGTCCTGACTCATCCTCAGCTGAAGTTCATATCTCTACGCTCTTGTGTTTGGCAGTAACTGGTGAGTGACAAGGCCATGCCTATCCGACCAAGATAAATCCTGAGTCCTTACTGAGGCTATATGTTGTTTTAGCAATGGTGAAAGCAGATGGGAGAGTGATAGACTGCAGCTCGGCCTCTTCTCCAAGGCACAGACAGTGCTCCTGGTCTACACAGTCTCAATGAGAGCACCATTTACACGTTGTGACGGCAACAAGTCCTGCCCTCATCGTCATTCAGGCAACCCCACTGACTGCAGGCAAAAAGAGAGGGCAGAATTGGGCCAGGGGTTCCTCTCTTGGCCCCAAGACATCCAATACCTCCTATCGTCCTTGTCCCTCTCCCTGCCGCTCTGAAGATGATGTGGGGTCTGGGGAGGCTGGGGTCTTCCAGCACATTCAGGTGTTTGCTTCTCACAGGCCTGATGTGAATCTTTTCCTCGTTCATGATGACAGCCCCTTGCTAAAGAAAGCAAAATCCCACCCCTATGTTATTCCAGAGGCATTCACCACCAAGAGAAAGTCACAGGCCACCTCTCCTCCCGCTCTCCCCTTTACTGCCAAGATTTCCCAAATGGGTGCTGCACCCAGGCAAGACTGAACATGTTTAGCACATCAGGATGCAAAACCAAAGGCTTCCTGTTTGTTTGTGATTGGTAGGATCCTACTAGGATCTAGGAGGGAGTGTGGTCTAGTGGTTAGAGCAAGGGACTGGGTTTTAGGCTTCTTATATTCAGTTCCTGACTCCATCACGAACTTGCTGTGTAACACTGGGTGAGTCATTATCCTCGCAGCTTTCTCGTCTATAAAACGGGGTTACTATTACCTTCCTCAGGGCAGTGTGACACTTGGTTCATTAATGTTATAAAGCACTTTCAGGTCCTCATAGGAAAGGATACTAAATCAACGCTAAGTATGATTATTGCCGTGGAGTACCTCACACATCATCGGGATCTCCCGTTAGCAGAAGGATTTGGATGAACACCAAACTGTCAGGTTACCAAAAGCTCTGAAAAATTAAGCAACTGGAGGCTCAGTGAGGCAGCATTGGGGTGACCAAAAATAAGTGTTTCAAGACCTTCCTCCCTTTGAGCAGGTGTGGGGGGAGCGGCTTATTTCTCTCTTTGCCTGTTTCTACATTTTCTCATGGCAGAATTGTGATCCCATATACTGTACTGAACTGCAAACCCTTCAGAGCAATGACACTGACTTTTCTGGACTCTCTGAAATGCCTTCACAGTGCTATCTAACTAGGAGAGATGGTCCCGAGCCACAGTACCGGATCAGAAACCCTTCAAACTCTGGAGGAAATTTGGATTTGAATTTCTCCGCTCAACCTCACTTCTGTAAAACTGATCTGAACCCCCTGAGACCTTGAAGGAAGTTTGGACCCAGCTCCAAACTTTTGGGCTTTGGACCCAACACCGTCAATTAGTCACCAATAAATAAAAAGTAAATCCCCTTATGTTTTCGAGAGGGCAGGGCATTTTCTTCCATTCCAAGCTCAGGGTGAAACTCATCTCTAGGCAGAGGGCCCAGCACCAGGCCTATGCACCACATAAGTTCCACTTCCACCCCAAGCATTCCTCACAACGCCTTCAAGGTCAAAGTGGAACTGTTATGGAGTGCGTAGTCCTCGCACTGGTTCTCTGCACAGGAATGAATTTCGCTCTAACCCCTTATTTCTGATCTGACACTTTGCTTTCTAGGCACCTGGATCTTCACGCTGAGACAACTGGCCAAGTGCACATGGCAAAACATCGTTGGTCATTAGTGGTTGTAAATGCAGCCGATGTTTTGATTTCAAAGTCTATGCTGCATACTCACCAGCTGCCCTTCGCAGTAAGTGACTCTACATTCAGCCCCTGGAGGGTGCAGTAGTTGTCCACCGGCAACGCAGGTGCCTGGGAATTGCTTTAGTAAACTAACGGAGGAGTTCAGCTTTCGATCGCTCACGAAGGAAGAGGAAAGAAAGACGTGGTCCTCCAGGAATTCAAAGGCGTAGAGTTCTCCCCAGGCCCTAAGGGAGCAGCGTTGAACTTTACAAGATTTTGGTTCAACTTGGTCCTCTTCACAGGGACACGCTGGCTGAGCAATAACAAATTCCGGTACTGGAAGAAATACCAGAAATTACTAGGATTAGAGACATGCTTAACAGTAATAATAACATGCGTGGGAAAATAAATACAATTATCTGCTTCCATGAAAAACAATACTCTCCAAAGAGCCTTCTCCCTTTAATTATGTCAAGAACCCTGGTCCTCTGTGTTGTTATCAACCCCGAAACTGATGATATATCACCTTGCAGCTAAAGCACAGAACTGGTAATCAGGAGGTCCAGGTTCTCCTATTAGCACTGAAACTGACTTGCTGTGTGAACGTGGTCAAGACTTGTAACCTCTCTGTGCCCCCATTTCCCCACTTGTATATGGGGATAACAATTTACTTGACAAAGAGGTAAGATATTTTGAGTTCATCAGATGTAAAGCATGATAGAAGTGAAAATTATTATTGCTAGGTACTGTACAAACATGTAAGTACACAATGTCCCTGCCCTGAGAATCTCGCCTAAATCTAAACAGTATCTTAATCCTGAATTATTATTGTCGGAGAAAAACACAGTTGTCACTCTTTCGTTTGGGTACAGATCCGTAGCAGCTGCCGGTGCTTCTGTGGGCATTGCCATCCCGGACAAGCCCCCAAATTGTCGGAGAAATAAAGCATCTGACTTGCTGTACCCAAACAAAAAGTGAGAACTGTGTTTTTCTCCGACATTATCTATCTAAAAGTATTATTATATTTTCTTGAAATGTTTACAAAAAACACTTACATAAAATCATCATTATAGTCTATACTCTTGTACCCAGCAGATCTGGATCTGTTCCAGGGTTATTTAGAATCTTTCCTTCTATGAATTGTGCACTAAAACAATAACAATATGCAGAAGGGGAAGTGAAACAGAAAAGTGCTAAAAGAATTACTGGATCGGATTTCCAAATAACAGACTCAATTCTGCAAATATTTACACACTTGAACCAAACTACTAAAGTCAATCACAAGCATAAGTGTTTGCAGGTCAGATCAGGGCTAATGTCAATAAAAGTGTGTGCTTACTGATATCAACTATACAGTATCAGAAAGAAATTTACAAAGATGACACATTACAAAATTCAGAAGGAAGAAGACTTGCATACCATCAAGGACTGCACTGGTGCCAAAATAAGAGAAAACGTCTTCTGCATCCAACGCCTTGAGAAATGTCTGCAAAAAGAAAAACAGCAGCTTTACATTTTCAAAGCAAAAACAAATGGAAATAAAACTTTATTCAGCACCACCCACCCTGCGCAGAACTTCAGCAATTTAACTATTATTCATTTTCATTTTGATGTCTTTAGTACAGAATGATCACCCAGAGGAGATGGTTGTACTTTCTTGATTAGCAGGGCTTGATACATTTTGGTTTTAACGCACATTGTCCTATTTCTATAGAGAGGGGGGAAAAGCATTCTTGCAATCTGGAGGTCAGACTTACCTCTTGGAAAGCTGCTGGCCAGCAGAATCCCAGAGGGATCACCGCAAAAGCTAGGAAAATTGAATGGATGGTCATGTTGAAGGAACTGCTACTGACACACAACGGCAAAGGCTGGCCTGGAGTGATTAAAATGTTTAGCCCAAGGCATCACATGGAGCGGAAGTGAAGAATACATAGTTTAAACAAATAAAAGAGTTGATCCACTGCAGAGAGGGGCAGCTGAGGGGGAAATCAGTTGCTGCAGGAGTTTTTACAAGAACAGCTGTGGAGAGAAAGCTTTTGCGCAATATTTGCAATTTTGTTACAGCCAAAGGGCACTGCAAGAATAGAAACTTTGGGCCAGTTTTAACAGCCAAGTAAACAACAAGTAAAGAAGCAATTTGCAGGGGAGGAGAAACAGATCTAGAGTATCAAAGAAACAAGATGATTTCCCAGCTCCTGAGGGAACAATCTGGCAGTGCCTATCCAGGCAAAACTCCCACTCACTCCAGTTCTATGGGGAGAATGACACATAACTTCACTGAGACACAAGAGTGAGCTGTATTCAATCTCAGAGGCCAGGTTCAAGCCATGTCTACACTGGCATACAGCCACCATAATTTGTGTGTAGCTGGGGCCCGTGTACACTTGGCTGCTTGCATCGATGCAAAGCGTGGTGCACCACAGGTAGGTATCCTAAGGTGCCGTGCACCACCATCCAATAGAATGCCTTTTCAGACATTTTTGCAATGTTTTGTGATTTAGGAATGACTTGCCCAGGTCTCTTTGGGAGCTAGGGGTCCAGTTCCCAGCATGCAACTTTCTCCAGCCAATAATACCATCCATAGCCTATCATTTTCATGCTGTTTTTTAAAAAACCCACAAACCCACGTGTTGCTTTGCAGTCTCTGCCATCTCTGCCAGAAGCATGGAGTCTGCAAAGCTCTGCACTATTGTCATGAATGTTGCAAATACAGGATGCACAGTTCACCTGTATTTGCAGACCCACCAGACGTACTGCAACAGCGGAGCACATGAGGATATCTTCAAGGACAGTTTGCTGATGGACATAGTGAAAAACAATGTAAGAGTTGTTGGTGGCATTCACCAAGCAGCGGCAGAGGGTGGAGTGCCAACTCTGGGCCTGAAAAACAAGCACTGAGTGCTGGGATTGCATTGTAATGCAAGTTTGGGACAAGAAGCAGTGGCTGCAGAACTTTCACATGCAAACGGCCACGCACATTCCTGCACGTGTGCCCAGCTCTCCCCAGCCCTCCAACACAGGGGCACCAGAATGAGAGCTGCATTGACAATGGAGAAGGGAGCAGCAATCACTGGAAGCTTGCAATGCTGAATTGCAATCAGTCAGTGGGAAATCACTTTGGAAGTGGAAAATCCACAGTGGGGGCCATCGTCTGGCAAGTATGCAGGGCCATTAATCGTACCCTTCTATGCAGCACGAGGACTCCCAGCAATGTGCAGGACATAGGGGATGGATTGGAGCAATGGGGTTCCCAAACTGCAGTGGGGCAATAGACCGCATGCATATCCTTATTTCGGCACCAGCTCACCCTGCCATGGAGTACATCAACAGAAAGGGCTACTTTTCTATGGTTATGCAAGCGTTGGTGGAGCATCGGGGATGCTTCGTCAACCTCAGCGTGGCCAGGTCAGGGAAGATGCATGACGCTCGCATCTTTAAGAACACTGGACTTTTTAAAAAGCTGCAACCAAGGATGTTGTTTCCAGACAGGCAGATTACCACTGGCAATATTGAAATGCTAATAGGGATCCTGAGGGATGCAGCCCACACCCTTGCTCGCGAAGCCATACACCCCCTGCCCCCCGTCAACAGCACCAAGGAAAGATTCAGCTACCGCTCAGCAGGTGCAGAATGATAACTGAATGTGCTTTTAGTAAATTAAAGGAACGCTAGCGGTGTTTACCCACTAGAACGGATTTCAGTGAGAAAAATACCCGAACGGCTATAACTGCCTGTTGTGTTCTGCGTGATATCTGTGAGGCAAAGGGGAAAAAGCTGCCGCCAAGGTGGAGGGCGGAGGTAGAGCAGCTCTCTGCTGACTTTGAACAGCCGGACATCAGGACTCTTCCAAGAGCCCAGCACAGAGCTATGCGGTGGGAGAGGCTTTGAAAGAGCACTTTAAGTCAGTTACAGTAATGTTCTAGGCTGCTTTCAAGGACTTGTGTCTGTCTTGTGTAATATACATTACATATTGGTGGGTCTTTGCCTATTGGTATCTATTCTGTTGAGCCTGGAGCTTTGGGTAAGAATTGTGTTCGCTTGCTGCACATTTATAAATATGGCTGGGTGTTTTCCTGAAGCTATAAATTCAGTGGTGTTTGATGTGCATTTACAAGTACTATGTGCTTTAAGTACCACTATGCATTCTGCAATATTTGTTGTGAATAAAGATCATTTGATTCTCCAAAACTAGAACTTTGAGTGAAAAAAAAAGTGCAGAAAATCTGTGTATAAAAAACAAAACCAAAAAAACCCTGTACCATACTATACAAAATGTTAACAAAACTTAACAGGGTGAAAATTTAAATTAAAAAGGAGGTACAAATGTATATCCATTTCAGTAAACAAATGTAGTCCATTGTGGTTACATGTACACCAGTCATGGTTCTCACGGGTCAGTATATGTGAAGCTGTGGTTTTCCTTGCTGTCCCCCAGCGTGGTGTGCTAGGGGGTCCAACTGCATCCCATGATGCCACATGGACTATTGGGGGTGTAAGAAGCAGTGACCATGGAATTATCCAAGGACTGCAAAGGGTGGGAAATCCAGGATTTTTGGACCTGTCGGTCAACCGGGATCTGAAGCATTTGGGTTTGGTGCCTGAAAAGACGCATTACGTCCTGGTGCATTTCTTGCTCCTTGACTGGGACTCTAGGGCCTTTTTCCTGTTCTCGCTGTCTTTCTCCAGGCTGTCGGTCACACTGACTCTCCAAGCCCTTTGTTCATGGTACAATGCAGCACTGGCTTGCAGGATTTCACAAAAACATGTCCTCCTCAGTCCTCCTCCTCATCAGTGTCAGGCATTCTGTGGATGTGGAGGGGGCATCCTTCAAGGCTACACTGCCACAAGCTGCTGATAAAAATAGACATATGCACCACTGGATTTACGGTCACAACGGAAAAGGAAAGAAACATTTCAAAACCCCCTTCCCATATTCCCATAAATGCTTTTAATAAGTTATGCTTATTGACACTTCAGTTTTGGAGCGTCTCTGCAAAGCACTGCTCTCCAGCCCCATCCATGGCAAGTATGGCCTGCCAGGGATGGGGGGGGATGTGGTGGTTTCTGTTGCATGAAGCTATAAAATTACAGCCCTAATCCATGGGTTCAAGTACAGGGCAATGGCAGTGAATACTGGCACTAGTTTTCACAAGATGTGGTGATTTTGGCTTTGGAGGGTCACAAAGGCACAGAGAACACAGCTTGCTACAGGCATCTTCATTATCCTAAACATGAAATAGACATTATAAAAAAAACCTGGGCCCTCACACTGGCTTTTCCCCTTGACATTTATGTTCATGTACACTTCCAGAAACTAAATGCCAAAGATTATGTTCATCCAATGTTCACAATCAATCGGACCACCTCCCCTCCCATTCATGCTCACATAACAGCCTTGAGGCAACTACAGCAATTGCCTACGTAGAAAAATAACATTGGGAATTTATTGCATTTGCAGTGATCTTTAATACAAGGTCGCAACTAGAAACAGACAGGAGAATCAGCACTGTGTGAGCAGCCAACTCTCTGCCAACCACCAGGAAGTGCTCCCTGGACCACAGTTTGGGAACCTCTGAGTGAAATAATATAGAGTCATAAATGCCAAGGCCACAAGAGACCATTGTGACCTACTCTGAACTCCTGTATAACACAGGCCATAGGACTTCCCCCGAAATAATACCTAGAGCAGATCTTTTAGAAAAACATTAAATCTTGATTTAAAAATTGTCAGTGATGGAGAATCCACCATGATCCTTGGTAAATTGTTCCAATGGTTAATTATTCTTATTATGTTAAAAATTCCTTATTACCTGTCTGAATTTGTCTAGTTTCAACTTTAAGGCATTAAATTGTGTTCTATCTTTGTCTGCTAGATTGAAGAGCCCATTATTAAATATCTGTTCCCCATGTAGGTACTCATAGACTGTAATCAAGTCACCCTTACCGTTCTCTTTGTTAAACTAGATTGAGGCACTGGAGTCTATCGCTATAAAGCAGGTTTTCTAATTCTTTAATCATTCTCATGGCTCTTCTTTGAAACCCCTCCAATTTATCAATATCTTTCTTGAACTTGGACATTGGAACTGGATATGGTATATCAGCAATGGTTGCGCCATTGCTGATATACCATGCAGAGGTAAAATAACCACTCTATTCCTACTCAAGATTCCATGTTATAGATCCAAGGCTTGTATTAGCATCTTTGGCCATAATCAGAGGGGTAGCCGTGTTAGTCTGGATCTGTAAAAAGCAACAGAGAGTCCTGTGGCACCTTTAAGACTAACAGATGTATTGGAGCATAAGCTTTCGTGGGTGAATGCCCACTTCATCGGATGCATAATGTTGCACTTAGAGCTCATGTTCAGTGATTATCCATCACAACCCCTAAATCTTTTTCAGAGTCACTGCTTCCCAGTACAGAGTTCCCCATCCCGTAAGTATGGCCTATATTCTTTGTTGGGTGGCCTACACATACACACACACACTTCTGAGGAAATGTCAGTTTTCACAGGATGATTCTGCCTACTTGTACGCTTAACAATAATTTTCACAGGTGCTTGCAAGACCCTGTTTACAAGTCATCAAGTCATGTTGGGGTGGAGGGAATTTGTGAAACATCATTACACTAACATATAGTTTTACAGGCCAATGGTATTTCGATGTCACATGATGTTTTTCCAAAATGGTAGCATGTTGTATAGGTTTATCAGGACTTCCAAGTGCATCCTACCCAAAACACTCCCAAGAGCAGTAACACTGCAAAATGGGTCTGTGCTATCTGCCAATTATATTACAGGGGAGCTAGTGCTGTGTCCCTAATGCCACACCCCTCTTCTTTGGGTTGAACCCCCAGCTAATCTTCCCTCTTCTGTGCACCCCATATTCATCCTGCTGTGCTCCCTCTCACTTGCACCCCCACACACACCAGATGACCCCCTCAAACACATTCTCAGCCCCACTGCAGTCCCCATGCTGCAGTGCACCCTCATGGTAACGCCTGTGCCCCATATGCTCCAGTGCACCCCCACTGCAGTCCCCAAATCCTGGTGCACTCCTCATAGCAGTCCCCATACCCCAGTGGACCCTAATGCTAGTGCCCTTAGGGTGACCAGACAGCAAATGTGAAAAATTGGGTCAGGGGTGGGAGGTAATAGAAACCTATATAAGAAAAGACCCTAAAATCGGGACATCTGGTCACCCTAAGTAGCCCATATGCTCCAGTGCACCCTCACTGCAGTCCCCAAAGCATAGCGCACTCCTCATAGCAGTCCCCATCTCCTCCAGTGCACCATTAGCCGTTCCCAAACCCCGGTGCACCCCAACAGTGATCCCCACAACCCCCGTGCACCTCCACAGCAGTTCCCAACCCCCCGTGCACCCCAACAGTGATCCCCCAGCCGTGCCCAACCCCCCACGCCTTCAGTCCCATCCCCCAGCGCGCTCTGCACCCCGTATCCCCGGCCCGGGGGGGCCGAGCGGCGCGGCGCGGTGCGTGTTTCCCGCCGGCGGCCGTTCGGAGCGGTTTCCGGGCGGCGCTGGGAGGCGAGGGGCGGAGGTGGAGACGCTGCAGGCGCACGTGGGCCGGGGTCCCGGCGCTGCAGCGCGAGCGGGCAGTGAGTGGCCGGGGTCTGCAGGGCGCGGGGTCGGCGCTCTCGGGGGGCAGGGCGGCGGGGCTGCCACTCCCGGGTGGGACTTGCTGGGGGTGCGGTGCCAGGCTGAGGCTGGCACTCCCTGGGGGGGGACAGGTCTCTGTGGATGGGGTTGGCGTGGTACTCAGGGGCTGGCGAGCCCTGGCTATGGGATGAGGGAGAGGTGTCATAGAAGGCTTATCTGTATGGAAACCACAGGGAAGTGATCACCCATAAACCATATTTCAAATCCAGAGTGTGTGGTTATCAAGGTTTTGCTCTCTAGGTGAATGCAAAGCAAAGCAAACTGTCATTTGCTGTGTATTTCTGTAAACGCCTTATTATACACCGACTTCCCTGCAGACTAAGTGCAAAGCCCATGTTGTGTCTCTTCTGTGGATAAACAGAGACTGTCTGCATCCAGGCTTATTTCACCAATACCTTTTATAAGCATTAGCTGGTGTGGCAAACAAATTAAAAAATATATATTCCTATAACATATGATTTATGCATCTTATTGACAGAAATGGTTGTTGCTTTCGAAGTGTGATTGATTTCTGATGACAGAATGGCTAAAATAAAGACCAGAGAGTCAAAAGCTTCAACAAGCATCCCCACCGCTAAACCTGAGAATCTAAAAAAACAGCACAGGAACAACAAGAAAAAAGTATTGTGGAAAAACAAAGTCAAGCAGATCGGAAAGAAAAAACAAAAGGACACCAAAGTTGTGGGAGTGCTGCCCCCAAAAGCTCCTCAGGAGTTCTCCTCTAACTGGAAGACCCTGCAAGAGGTCAGTGACATCCAGGAGTTTAGTACCATGCCCCACTGGGGTAACCCATAAACAGTTACGTTCTAGTGAAAATCGGCAAGGGGGATTGAGTGTTTGAGATCCCCACAGGTGTTAGTTCAGTGCGTTGTCTTTCTTTTGAATTGTAGACTTAGGTACTGTATATAAAAACATGACATGTTGAGGAGTGTTTTGGCTAAGAGGTCACAGCATGTTTTATGCAAATAAAGTTTGCTGTGAACTCTTGAAACAAACAATGCTTTGCTGGTTCAGTAGTCAAATTATGGAATTATCCAGAAGTGGAAATAAGTATCTGAAATACCTTGGTCCATGGGGATCTAGTAAGTTTCACAGCCTCTTTCCTTCTGGTCTGATTTGAGAATTATAATAGTACGGTTATCAATATTAACCTATTGTAGGCATGATTGAGGAAGAGGAGTGTGTAAGGAGACTTAAAGATTCAATTTGAAATTGACTGAAAACTGCAGTTTTCATTGTACAAGAAAAACTTGTCCAGTTCTTAATAATAGATAGGTGTCCATATCACTCAAATTGTTGGCATTTATTGGCCCCTTTCTCAGTAATGTCAGCAGAGAGATCAATGACTTAATGGACCATGGAGAATGAACTATTCTTTCACCCCTTGAAATGGTGGGGCTCAGTATGGGGGGAATCTTGCATGACTATTGCCTACATTTGTACCTTATTGTAGGTACATGTAGAACTTCCAACTCCAGGGTTGGACATGCATGGAAATTGAGTAGTAAATTCACAAGAGAGAATGTAAATGCGGTGTTGGTGGGTTGGGGTGGGGACGAGTGGGAAACTTCAAAGTTTAATGCTACAGTAAATTCTTTGGGGTTTCTTTGGGTCATATTAGCTGCTGAAACAAAAGGCCACCAGCTTGGATAAGTCCCTTCCTGTATCCCAAACATATTCCAAGAAGCACACAATCAAAAAGGGAAACGTCAAAGGAATTCCAGCTATAAATGGAGGTGGGAATATGGGAAAATTCAAATCTGTAAACAGGATGGACAGTGATCCTGCCAAAGTTTGCGTTCCTTTGGCTATCCCGAAATCAGAGAGAACTGCATCTGACAAGAATTCGAGTGATGGCAAGGGAAATAGAAAGGAGCACAAGAAAAGAAAAAATGGCAATGTTGAGAAGGAACAAGGTGACATAAAACATAAGAGGAGGAAAGCTGAAGAGCACACGGAGCAGCCGCTAGCAGAGTGAGTATTTCAGGCCTCATGTTTACATACATATGTAGGTGGCTGTAACTATTCTAATTGCAGTTGATTAATTTGAGATAGAGGGTGATGCAACGCTGTGTTTTTCCTCAAAGGAGGAAGACCCTCTTTGTTCCTTATACCACCTCCCCTTAAAATGTCACGTCTTCCCTACTGTACAGGCTGTCAGTTATTGCAGCTATCTTCATGGACACTACATGGTTCCCCTTAGAGCAGAGGGTCCCAAACTGTGGGGCGCACACCCCACATTGGGGGGGGCATGACTGCAGCCCTGGCTAGCCCCCATGGGGAACGAAACCCAGCTCTGCTCCTGCCCTGCCCTCAGCTGTGGCCCCAGCCTCAGCCCCGTTACCCCTGTCCACATCGGGGCACAGACATGGGGCGGGGGACAAGGTACACTGCCTTCAAGGGTGTTAGGACCATTGCTTAATGACCAGAGGAGGCAGCTTTTTGGCAATGCAAGATATTTTGCACTTTGCCAGTGCTTTGCCTCAATAGCACTTCCTACTTTATCCACCCAGGGAATAAGAGACATGGGTTGAAAATGAAACCTGCATCTCATCTATTACAGTAGAGATGTTTCTCTTCCCTTCCCACCTGAACGGACAGATTTCTGTACCATAGCCCTGTTTTGGAGGTGCCTGTTCATACAAACATCCCAAGCTATCATAAACTAAAAGGTTTAGGGAAAAGAAATCCACAAATCTTGGCCCTGGACATGAATGAAAAAAGAAAACCTGCAGTCTTGAAAGAGCTCCACTGAAATGCTGAAGGAGAGGAAAAGACTGGTGGAAGAGCACCTGGTGACCAGCAGATTTAGACCTGGGAACTAAGAAATCACTGGTACCTGAAGGGGCAGAATGGACAGGGGAATAGATTGGTTGTGTGGCTGGACAGAAGTTCAGACACAGATACTTCTAATCTTATATTGTGTACCCTGAGGAACACCGTATAAGATTACGGTAAAAATAATTCCACACTTTCCAGGCTAGCCATATGGGACAGACTAACCCAAGTCCTCTGATATTTGAGTAAAACTACGTGGTCTACAGCATCTGACTGTTGGACTAGTTGGCACTGATTTATACTAATTAGTTGACTCCTTGCTTTTATAAACAGGCTTAGCCAAACTGTCAGAGATAAACCGGCCTTTTAGACAGTACATTTTTAAAACCATGTTACAATGTAATTTTATCTTTGCCTGGCAGGGCCGACATCTGGTTTGATGGTGTAGATCCAGAGGATATTGAAGCAGCAATCGGACCTGAAGCAGCAAAAGTTGCTAGAAGAAATATGGGAATTGAAGAAGGCAAATCACCGCTATCTATGGAACAGGTGCTGGTTAAAGAAAAGGCTTTTGCAGGGTAGGTTGTATTTCTAACGTAAAGTGTATATACGGTATATAGAGGTGTCAGACATTTTCTCTTTCTTCCAATTGTGGCTTCCAAACACAAACAGAGTGTAAACTGATGTCTTCCTGAGTCTGCAAACAGACTGAAACTACTCTGAGATGTTAAGTGCCCCATTTGTTTTAACTGGTAGCTAACTTGTACATCTAGAAGTATATGATCACAGCAAAGGCTTTCTAACTCTGGTATCCTCTTTTAGGCTGACAAAAGCTGTAGCCATGGACTGTGAGATGGTGGGAGTAGGGCCCCAGGGTGAAGACAGCATCCTGGCTCGTGTATCCATGGTGAACCAATTTGGAAAGTGTATTTATGACAAATATGTCAAGCCTACAGAAAAAGTGACCGATTACAGGACAGCTGTTAGCGGCATACGGCCCAAGGACATAAAGAAAGGTGAGTGATCTTTCCTAGCACATTCCTTAAGAGAGAGGATCCAGTTGAGCACCACAGAAACATCCCTGACTGAGTTACTGCTAAGCTATTTTTGGGCCTGTTTAATTCTATTTTTGTGTAGGAAATAAAACAAACAATCGCAATCTCAGCACAACCTAAAATATCTAAATGAAAGGGAACTCTACAATAGATCATGAATCAAAATACATTTGACGCTTTCTTGCAGAGTGATCATTATTGCCCCTAGTAGAGTATAACTTCTGTAATCATTGCCTACAAAAATGCAAGGGTGATCTTAGGCCAATAAGGAGACGTCTGTTTCTCGATTGACTGCTATTTTTGTTCGCGTGTGTGCTTATTTTGCCATCTTCGAGTCTGTAGTTATGAGCAAGCAGGGGATTACTGTGTACAAGAATTCTGCATTCTCCAATACCTTGGATCCCAAGGAAGTGCCTGCCACATAAAATACTCCACTTCCTAATGCTGTCTCAAACTTGAGTTTTGTTTTGTCTCTTACTGAGAATGTGTTGCATTTTTAGGAGCGGAGTTTAAAAGTGTTCAGAAGGAGGTGGCTGACATCTTGAGAGGAAGGATTTTAGTTGGGCATGCTGTCCACAATGACTTAAAGGTACATGGTTAGATATTTATTGCTTTGAAGCCCCCATCTTCAGTGACTGACTTGTCACCCCAGAATGTTAGCTGAAGCATCAGGTTAAAACACCTCCCCTCTCTGGAACCATAGGTTCAGATTGCAGCTGGTCCATTCAGTCTTTTGTCATTCCAGAGTAGGTTAAAGTACAGCATCATTCAAGCTACCCAGTGACTGAGTCTTTCAGATGAGACCTTAGGATCTTCTGTTTTTATCTGCTCTTTATGGACATTAAGGCTCTCATGGCACATTTTATATAGTTTTAACATTTCCTTCTAGTCTAGGAATCAGCAGGTTGCTCAAGTTATTTGCATATTCAGGGAAGGCCAAAGCACAGTCTGTGAAGTTCTACAGTGAGGCCAGTGGCATCATTAATGCAGAGACACTCGGCTACTTGCATCAGACTGGAGTATTCCGTGCTAGGGCATACAAGCTCCACAGGCAGCACCTCCCGAAGATGGCACCATCTGAGCCAGGTTACGCAAATTGGTTGGGGCTCTTACTGTAGCAATCGCACTTGTTCACGTTGTGAACGCCTTTGAATTGATGGGAATGGTGCACTCCGCTGTATGAAGTATCCTGCTACTGCATTCTTTACAATGGAAATATTTTTCTTTCAGATCCTGTTTCTTGATCATCCTAAAAAGAAAATTCGGGACACACAAAGATACAAACCTTTCAGAAAGGAAGTCAAAGTAAGAAATGTGCAGAAAATAGTATCTTGATTCACTAACATTTAGTGCTAGTGCAAGGCAACAAGATCTAGAGGAATGATTCCCCCCTGCATATTTAGTCTCCAGTCCTGTATCTGCCACTGACTCTTTATACGAGCTTGGGCAAGTCCCTTCACCTCTCTGCTTTAACTGTCTTTATGTAAAATGAGGGTATGTGATGCATTGTCATTTATGAAAGTTAGCTAGTTTAATGTATTTAGACATAGGTTTGGAAGGATTCGATTTTTTCAGTAAATAGCGGTAAACTTCGATTTCACTGGACAAACTGAAAAAATATTTCCATCAATAACTGAAATTTACAGATAAGCAAAGGAAGAAAAATGCTATTTAAGAACTTTAGAGTTTGATTTAAGGATACAGCGGAGTCGCATCATAGGCGCATTTAACTTACGCAATTTTAAATATATGCGCTCGGCAAAACAAAACAAAAAAGAGAAAAATAACAATTTAATACTGTACCTGTTGTGCAGGCGATTCCGCCCGCCATTCCACTCAATGAGCGTTTGACTATACGTGATTTTTGCCTTACGTGCTGTCTTTAGAACCTAACCCCCGCATAAGATGCGACTCCCCTGTATTTACTTTGTATATTTTGACATGTGATAGTGACAATTTGTGTTTTAATGGTTATAAAGCTGTCACTTTTTTGAATCTCAACATGTACGGCCATTAAATAATTGTCTGATCCCCCATAATTTCCTGCAACTGTGAAAATTTAAATGTATACAAATTTTAAAAAAGCTTAAAATGAACATTGATTTTTATTACTAAAAATTATTTTTAAAAATTGAATTCTGCCAAACCTATTATACAGTGTTTGGAATGTGTAAAGTCCTAAGTAACTTACTGCCAATCAAGATTACCAGTAATACCCATGCACAGCAAATTCATTGGCTTTCCCATTTCCTGGAACTCAAAACAGGAACGTGGGTCTTTCTATCATCTTTCTGGGAAGTCAAATAAGATAATATGGATCTATATATAGAAAATACTGGGTTCTTCTATTTAGTGATATTGTTAGCTCACCTTCCTGACTGGAAACATCTGTCACGCAAGATCCAAAGGTTTACCTTAGAAGTGACAGGTAATATTTTAAATTTCAAAACAAGACACCGAATTTTTCCTTTCTCCCTCTCACTAAAAGCTTAAAAAAGCCATGGTTGATGAGGCTATAGTCATATGTGCTGCTGTAAGTGATATCACTGTCTATGTCATTCTTATAATGCTGAAGGGATTTACAAGAGTGGAGGTTTGAATAGATCTCTCAGTAACCTGACAAATGACATCTGTCTCACCAATTCATCTGTAGAAACTTACACACACTATGGTTTAATGGGTATTCTTAAACTAAAACCTTACTGCAGGATTTAGCTTGAATAATTGTGTCCTTCATGCAACGGAGGAGATGCTATTTAATTTCATTGTTGGCGTAACAACTCTGTGATTCTCTTGTTTTTGCCTCTAGAGTGGACGTCCATCTCTAAAACTGCTTTGTGAGAAACTGCTGAATGTGAAAGTGCAGACATCAGAGCACTGTTCAGTACGTAAACCCATGGGGAAAAGTATTTATGGGTGGATCAACAGTGCATTGGGCTTTAGGCTCTGGGACCCTAGAAGTATAACCTCATTGTCGTCTCTGTACTCATGAGATTTGGTAATCTTTACTCAGCATATCAATGTGCAATACCAGTCTGAGGAAAGCTTGTACCGTCCTTACCTGCTTCATACCAATAGCGTTAATCACCTATTTTCATGAACACTAACCATATGGAAATTTCCCATCAGCTAAATTAAGTGTTCTCTTACATGAATTATTTCAGCATCAAGAGAAATTAAAAAGGTTTACTTTTCTTTGGGAAATGAAATGGATGCGAGGATGTGACTACCGTTAACAGTGATCCTACAGCAACTTACTGCTTTCTTTCTTTAACCTGCGGCTTGTTTCATTGTCTTCCAGATTCAGGATGCGCAGGCAGCTATGAGACTATACACGCTAGTGAAAAAGCAGTGGGAAGCAGCTATCAAAGCCAAAGCTAAACTGTAGAAAAATAAATTCTAAAACGTCAACTATTCTATCCTGTCATTTTCTGCTGTGCAGCATTTACTAGATTCAAATGGCGTTGTATGATGGCTTTTTTCTCTTGCCAGTGGTATTATCCTTGAATCAGTCATGCATAATAAACTAATAGCTGTGAACAGTCCATTACAAGGAATCTGTTCACGAACTGCTGAGTAGAGCTAATCCTGAAAAGAAACTGTTATGCTCCAAATAAATAATCCATGGACTAAAAGCTCAATAAATACATAAAGCTCACTTAACTCCAAGCCTGTAGACCTTAGTGTGATTTTTATTAATCTTTTAGGAAAGTATAGTATACATTAAATGTAGTTCAAAAATCCACAAAGTAAGACAGGTTCCGAAAATAACACTGCTGTCAGACTCTCAATATTGTCAGTAGTCAAAGTGGTTCTTTGTAAAGAATACAATGGAATATGTTCAAGCAGATGATGTCTATATAATACAGGTAGTATCTCCTTCTGGGGAGAAAAATCTTTTTAAAATACTTCTGAAGGAATCAATCATGTCTACCTGAATCAGAAGACTTCAAGCCTTGTATGTAGAGAACAGCTTTTACCTTACTTCTGCAGTTTCAAAAGTGCTGAATCCACAAGGGTAATTATCTCCTGGGGAGAAATGTGAAAACTGTTAAATACAAGTTTATCCTGGTTTTTACTTTACAGTGTAAAGAGACAATTAATAACTATGGTACAAAAATCTATTCTGTATTTAATATATGTCCTTTTATAGGAGTTCAGACAGTATATCTCATTTGCATTTTGGGGTCTCAATAACTTATTTCAATATTTTTAGCAAACGTGTGGCCTAATTCGGACACTTTACTCTCACCCGTAATTCCTTTGTACTACAGGATTGGCTTCTAAGACTATAAAATTTATATAATCTGTCTAAAAATAATTTAAAAAAATGCTAAAAGGTCATCAGGAATCTGCTCTAAATATTTAGCAATAGTTGTCATGGTACATAAGTACACTAAGCAATATCTAGCTTGTAAAAAGTCTTGATTAGAGGAAGAGAAAAATGGGAGAGGGAAGGACCTCTCTTAGGTTTTGTAATAAAAGAATTGTTATTTTTTCAGTGGTATTTCACATGTGTAATGTGTTGTTGTTTTTAATGGGAATGGGAATGATAGCTAGAAAAACATTGTGGAAAGTAGTGACTTTGTACTATGAGGCAAACATTCTGGAGGAAGAGAACTATGAGCAAATTAAATTTAAGGGTGGAGGCTCTGACTATCGGTTTTGTTTGTTTGTTTTTTTTAAATAACTGCTACATGCTTGATGGCAAACTACTCTATGTTAATAACTTGGTGGTTTAAGAGTGTAGGTCGCTCTAGTGTTGGAAAAACAAAGGTGGGAATTATTTTGCTGTTTAATTAATTAAACGTAAAGTAATTCCCCAGGACAGTAAGCCCACGCAATTAAGTGGCTTGGGCTTTTTAGGGTTATTTAATAGATCAATAAATCCCTCTCTGCTTTGAAATATAGTTGTCTTGTTCCTCTATACTTTAACCTGTATTTCTGGTACGAAAAATGTAATAAAAAATATATGCAGGCTAATGCTGGATGAAGCGGGAATAGTGTCAAACTTACATTTAATTGATTTAAGAGTATCTTCAGCATGAAGTTTGATAAACTATGCTCCACCTGCTTATTTTTTTAGTACACTTAGAAATATTCTGAGTCCCCATGCCTCCAGAGTACCCTGCACACTGAATCCACACTAAGCCCCTACCCCCACAAATTCCTGCACTATATCTTCCTCTGGGTAAGATGGATGCGTGGCATCTCCAGACAACTCCAAATGATTGATGTTTGTGCAAGCCATAGCCAAGAAATAAAACCATTTGTACAAATTGAGTGTGCTCTTTCGTTACGACACTGACTTCCACCCACCATACTGGATGTAAACTTGACTTTCATTTCAGTCAGCAGCTCCTTCATATCCTGGGAGATCATCTCTAGCACTATGTCATCTGATGAAAAGGAACAGGGGAATCTATCTTAGTTACTGTAATAAACAATGCTTGGAATAATACTTCACCTTCCATAGCTCTCACCTGACAATGGCCAAAGGGACTAGGGGGAGGGAAAGGCCCTTATGTTAGGAAACAAGAATATCATAAAGAAGTTTGAAACAAACATAAGAGGAAAAGTGGGATCAGGTTAGATGGAAATTAAAGTAAATCAAGTAAGGGACAATTGAAAGATTCCTTTGGCATCTATAAGATGCTAATGAGCATGTTAGTACAATTGATATGCAAGCACAGGAACCCAGAGGCCTGGAGCTCTGCCTCTGTATTAATTACTTGTTCTGCAGTGGAGTGCACAGGCTACAACAAAGATTGGGGCCCCATTGCATTGGGTGCTGTTTAACCACATCATGAGAATGTCTCTCTGCCCTGAAGAGCTTACTGTCTAGTTTAAAATGTGCAGACAGAAAGCAGTACTAGTAGGCACGAGCAGTTTAAATGGAAGGGTCGGATGTTATTAACTTGTGGGATAAAAATGAGCCAGTGCATTATTTCTGAGGCGGGCCACACCTGAAGTTTTGTTTCCTTCCTTTCTTCTGTCTCATAAGACAAGCAAGGCTCTATGCTTATCTAGATGTTCTGATTCAAACTGCAACATCTTGCCTTTCCTGCTTTATTATTTACACTTCCATGGTGAACGATCTGGAGAGAAGCAACCCCAGATGTGCAATAGTCTCGTAATAGCTCCTAACCTGAATCTGAAAACATATTTCAGGTTTCATACCCCAGAAGGTGAGCTATAGCTTATTGTACAGTATTGTAATCTGGCTGGGAACTGCAAGCAGTAATTTCCAGTCACTGTGCTCATTGACAGTGTAGAATTATTCTTGGTTGCTGTTATGATTTTATGCATTGTCTGAACAAAAAGGACTGGCCAAAGACAAGAAAGAACAACAAGACCTTACCGTACTGCACCATCTCATTAATCAGCATACAGATGTTCTCCACCACTTCTGGATCATCACAGTGAAAGTGGTAGGAGTCTTTGATCAGGCTTATTCCACTGCCCTTTGTATCTGTTACGATAAGCCTGAAAGCAGATAACTCTGAAAAAGAGGGACAGACACAAGTGCTACTAGGCAGTGGCAGATTTCCAGTTGGAAAAGTATTCTGAAGCACCTTCAGATAATGTGTAGGATTGTGTAAGCAGCTGGCACTTTCTTGCAAGGCAAAACTTCTCTTTATGTCCCAGATACCCTTTGTTCATTTTTCATTAACCGCTCCTTGAGCTGTATCCTTTTTACACACTAGAACAACGTCATCACAAGGAAGTATTTTAAACATAGAGTTTACAACAGGGTCCCCCTCCCTCTGCTGATCCACCAGTTCCCTCTGACATTTATGCTTCTGTTCTTGGGCAGGAGGGGCTAATCCAGTTTTCTTGTTTGAATGTTTTTCTCCGACAGGTAGAAGGAGAAGACTGATCCAGGAGGGCAGACGTCCCTCCCAACCCCACTGGGAACCTTCAGTCTTTACAGTGTTGTTTGCCTCTGATGCCCACTTGCCATTGTTAAAAACACCTTTCTGGATTGTTACCAGATATCCTTAGGAGGCTTGCCAATGCCAAGCAGGTATTCTTCACCAGCACTGGTCTTTCTGGATTCATCCTGAGAGCATCCAACAAAAGCAGAGTTGTTGGTTCATACTGGCTTTCAATTAAGCAGCCTGCAAAAATAGCCAGTGAAATACCCATCAGTGCTTTCAGCTTCTGTCTCAAGCTTCTACAAGGATTCCTTTACCATGCACCAATACTAAAAAGTAAGCCCTGTTAGGCCTATTTTACTAGAATACAGACTAATAGAATATCTGAGCATCGTGAGTTGGTCCAGGGGCTCAGAGACAGTTATGAACCATCTGCTAGGTGAAGCTCCAGGTTCAATTTCTAGTTCCAGCCTCTCACTCCCCAGATCAGCAGAGGGTAGGAATGATGCAAAAACAACATCCTCTACTCACAGGGGTTGGAGAGGAAAGAATGCAGTGGCTAGAAGGATGGTGGCCATAATAAGGGGATTGAATGGTGGAGATGAAAATGGAGAAAGGGTCGCATGAAAATGCTGCAAGGATGTTTTCATCTATAAAGTGATTTCGAAGAAGCATTAGTACCGGACTCGTACTGCAAAGATGTTCCTTTTAATGTACATACATAGTGATATATAGATAATACTTTTATTTTTAACATGTCATGTTCTTCCCAAGACAGTGATGACATTCATGTTAAAAACCTTTCTTTGTAATACTCTACACAGCACTAATACTGTACTGGGTGGTTTTAGATAGGAACAGAGAGTAACAAACCTGGGATTCTTTAGTTGTGAGAGAGGACAACTAAGAGGTGACAATCTATTCTACATAGGTTCTTAAACCATGCTCATCACTGTAGTATCTGACAGAAGTATTTACTTAACCTAGCTAAGAGTTATTACAAAATTAAACTTCATCTGAGGTTGTCAGAAAGAGATGAACGAGGGGGTGCTGGTTCAGTTAGGAGGGTAACTATGTTGCCAGCTAAAGTATAGGTATAAAGCAGGCTAAGGTACAGCAGGTTGTATTGCACCAAGGTAAGTTATAGAGGATTCACTTCAACATTCATTTTAATTACTACTTAAATAACTGCTGTGTGTAATTTTGTCAGACTAACTCCTGCTGTGCATAAAGCACAGCAAGCATGAAAACTCACCCTGAAGTGTCAGAACCCAGAGGGCAGAGCAAGCCGACTCAACCACCTCTCCATCCTCACGGTGTTCTTGGAGGACTCCAGTGATAATCTGGACAGCATTTTTTAGTGATGCTTGTCCCATGTTACTTTCTGAATTAGGAAGAAAATCCAAATGCCAATATATCAAGCAGAGTTTGTTAACTCAAACATTAACACAGTGAGCAGATTAAACTGCAGGCAAACATCTTACTACACAAAGGTATCAGAGAAGTTATGTTTTCTGTATAAAAAACACACTATTGATTAGTTATATATTTGATTTATTTGATCATGCTCTAGATTCCTTCCATCAACTCTTCTTTACATTAGTAAAATAATCTTGCATTATTCCAGCTGTTTTCATCTGCAAAAGCTTTGCAAGCTTAATCCAACATGCAGACTAGCTTCAGAAATTGCTTCACCCAAACCTAAAATGCAGCCATCTGTGGGCAGAACATAGTGCTCAGGAATGATACCTAACAGATCACACAGAGAAAAATACCAAGTTGAACCTGCAGTGGGAAATTATACATGCAGAATGCAATTGCGCACATTTGTTTTGGTTTTTTGACCTTGACAATGAGAAGAACACATCCCTGCTCTTTCAAGAAGTGTCATGGAATCTAATCACCGCCCGTGGTCAAGGCCTCAGATTTAGGTCTGGTGCAAAAGGGATCTCCCAGCAGCAGCGTAGTGCAATGCTGTGGCATTGGTTTGGCACTGACTCAGTAGAAGGAACGCCACCTGCTGGTGTTCCTTGGAGGTTTCTAGTCAAGAGTTAGCCTGATCCTGTTTCAACTGTGAGATACGACAGGACTGTAGGATAGAAATGCATGGCTGGAGGTTTTTTACAAAAATCTCTGCCTGGGAAAGCTAGGGTGTGTTGTGGGGTTATTAAAAAAGCTACTTATTTCAAAGACAATTCCCCCTCTCTGCCAATGTATCATCTAATTCACCTCCATTTGCTAGGCTTGTTTCTTAAATCAATCCAATATGCTGATTATACTTCATTTCCTCTTCTTATCACAACACATCACATTACGTGATGGAACCTGCAGCCACATAACCCACTTTTCATTTCTGAATGTTTATAAACAGTATGCGGCGTAACATTTACAAATTGGGTCCTTACCACCATAGGGATATTGAGACGTTCACACTGACCTTTAGTCTGTGTTGCCCCATTGCTCATTCAGTGATGGATCTTCTAATGCTACTCAATCAAAGCTCTCAACCACATTCTTTTCTCCAACACCCCACTGTACTCAAAGTTGGGAGAAGTCAGTAAAAAGTTTCATCCCCGAGCTATAAGAATCTCTGAATCCAGCTAGGCACAGTATCTGCTGTGTTCTACTTACCATTCACAGCCAAGCTCCAAAGAATACCAGAGCAAGAAAGGCAGATCTGTCTGTTCTGAGGAAAATTGCTTATAATTGACAGAACATCTGTGATGACTCCAGCTTTCCTCAGTGCTTCTGCAGCCATTTCTAATAAGCACAGAAAAGGACATCATATAATTATATTGCCACTGCTACCACTACACAACAAATTTAAATCAAAGGGAGTCATGAAACAAGGGAATAACATAATATGATCAAGGGCAATATGAAAATGAGCAAAAGAAATGTACGGGATTCTTAATGAGAACCACATGCACACAGACTATACTAGTGGTGACTGGCCTTTTTAGAACCTTCTCAGTTTGGCCATCTCCTCCCATTATAGTTTTGAGCTTCATGGAAGGAACAAAAAGAGAGTTATTGAGAGGGCATCAATCACTGCCATTCAAGTCAGTCTAGCAATCCAACCAACCTAGTCAACTCCAGACTTAAGAATTCATTTTGAACAATAACTTAGGTAATTTAGGTCAAAAGTGCCAAGAATCTTAGATAGTTGCCTTTTTATATTTTGTACAAGTTGAAATAAAATGTCTCAAAAATATGTTTGAGACAAGTTAGGAGAGGTAATATCTTTTATTGGACCAGCTTCTGTTGGTGAGAGAGACAAGCTTTTGAACCACACATTACTCTTCTTCAGGTCTCTCAGGCCTCTTCTCTGTCCTGAAGAAGAGCTCCATGTGGCTCGAAATGCTGTCTCTCTCACCAACAGAAGTTGGCCCAATAAATGATATACTCTCTCTAATTTCCTGGGGCCGACACAGCTACAACTACCCTGCACACAAGAACGTAAAATATTTTTGGACAGTTTCAAATCTTTTTTGGACATGTTCCTTTTGCATTGATAAATCCTTCCCAAAAATCAACTGAATACCATCATAATTAAGGCTACGATTTAGTCACGGGTATTTTTAGTAAAAGTCACGGACAAGTCACAGGTAATAACCAAAAAGTCACGGCCAGTGACCTATCCGTGACTTTTATTAAAAATACCCCTAACTAAATCTTAGGTGCTGGGGAGGGGCAGAGTAGGGTGACCAGATGTCCCAATTTTATAGGCACAGTCCCGATTTTTGGGTCTTTTTCTTATATAGGCTCCTATTACCGCCCCCACCCCGTCCTGATTTTTCACACTTGCTGTCTGGTCACCCTTGGGCGGAGGGATGCTCCAGCAGACGCTTCTGCTCCTGGGGGTGGAGGGGCAGCCCAGGGCCCTGCTGCCGCTGCTGCTCCTGGGAGGCGGGGGGAGCCCAGGGCCCTGCCGCCACTGCTCCGGGCAGAGAGCAGCCCATGGCCCCACCGCCATCATTCCGGGCCAGGGGCAGCCCATCGCCTCACCGCCACCGCTGCTCCGGGTGAGAAGTGGTCCAGGGCCCCGACGCTCTGGGTGGGGTGGCCCGGGACCTGACCATCGCTGTTGCTCCTCGGGTGGGGGCAGCCTGGGGCCCAACCACCACTGCTGCTCCTGGGACCAGTTGGCAGCTGGAGCAGAGTCCAGTGCTGCTGGCCACAGGGCCGCCCCAATTGCTTGGGCAGCCCTAGGGTCAGCCGCACCAGCCGCTGCAGCTACAGAAGTCACAGAGGTCCTGGAAAGTCATGGAATCCATGACCTCCATGAAAGACTTGCAGCCTTAATCATAATATGATCTGGCACTGGAGACAAGTACAAATAATATTAATATTAGTAATTATAGGCTGAATGGAAACCCTAGGCATGGAGAAATTAAGTGACTTGCTTAGGCACAAAGGCAGAGTCTGAGGCCTGGACTAAACTACACAATTAGGTCGACGTAAGGCAGCTTACATCAACCTAAGTATGTCAGTGTACACACTACAGTCTTGTCCCGCTGACGTAAGTGCCCTACTACACCAACAGAATAACTCCACCTCCATGAGAGACGTAGGGCTTATGTCGGTGTAGTTAGGGCAACACAGTGTCTGTGTAGACACTGCATTATTTACATGCTCCATGCTGAAGCTTTGAAATTGACAAGAAAGCCAGGCAGCTAGAGCCTGGCTGACCCAGCTCCCCGCTCCCAGCCAGGCTGCTGCCCGGAGGCTCTCCACTCAGGGAGGCAAGAAGTCCTGGGCGGCTACCCCCAGCTGGGAGCAGAGAGGCGAGAACCCGGGGGGCAGTTGGGGTCCCGGCAGGGAGCTGCTTGGAGCTGAGAGCCCTGGCTCTTAGCCCCCTCACACTGCCCCTCTTCAGTCAGTGGAAGCGCTCCTGATGAGGACACACACCACGAACAGAAGGAGGGTAGTGTGGACATCAGCCACTGCCATAGGCGCCGACTTCCTCTCTACCCGGGGGGTGTTCGACCCCTCCCTCCATCCCAGGCCTGCCCCCACTTCACCCAATTCCTCCAAGCACCCACCCCGCCTCTTCCCACCCCTACACCCCTTCCCCCAAAACCCCACTCCCGGCCTGCCTCTTCTCTCCCCCTCCCTCCCAGCACTTCCTGCACACCGCGGAACAGCTGGGAGGTGCTCAGGGGAAGGGGAGTTTGCTGCCGCGGGGTGATAAGCGGAGCACCCATGGAGTCGGCGCCTATGGCGACAGCTGTAAGCCAACCTAACAAAGGTCAACTTAGGCTAGGTCTATACTACCCGCCTGAATCGGCGGGTAGAAATCGACCTCTCGGGGATCGATTTATCGCGTCCGGTCGGGACGTGACAATCGATCCCCGAATCGGCGCTCTTACTCCACCGGCGGAGGTGGTAGTAAGCGCCGCCGACAGAAAGCCGCAGAAGTCGATTTTGCCGCCGTCCTCACAACGGGGTAAGTCGGCTGCGATACGTCGAATTCAGCTACGCTATTCACGTAGCTGAATTTGCGTATCTTAAATCGACTCCCCCCTGTAGTGTAGATGTACCCTTAGAGTTGTAGCGTAGACATGCCCTGAGGCAGAGCCAGCAATGGAACCCAGGTTTTATGCCCTAGCTTTCCCCAGTGTTACCATCTGCGTAAATTAATAAGAATCACTTGTTAGCCAACCAAGACTGAACACACCACCTCTTTAATACATCCAGTCTCAAACCACTTTGTCCGAATATAGTGTACCTTATGCTCCCAGCTGTCTTGCAACTAGAACTGGCTGACTAATGCTTCTGAGATGGAAAAATAACCCATGTACAGCAACATAGCTATGCTAAGTCACAGAGTTCTCCATTATGTATTTAATCCAACAGATAAAGATGGATAAACAACAAGAACATGTCCATATGAAAGGATCAGAGGACCCACCACTGGCTGAAATCATCATTAGTAAAGTGCAGATCATTGAGAGCAGTTCTTCATTTTCGGAATATGTTCTCATTGTCTTTAACAGAGAATGGATTCCTTCCTCACCAACTAGCATCTCCACATCCACATTCTGTTGTAGGGCTGTCAAAAGCAAAACATGGAACAGCATGAGGATGCTTCAGCAGCTTTCACTGAAGTCTGATTTTTCTGCTCTCATCATAGGTATACCATGAAGCAAGCATCATTTGTTGACTTAACATAGACTATACTGTTATGTTTTCCCCTCTCTTCCTGAAATCAAACTGCTCATTTTGTCTCATTTTCTGCAATTTTCATATGTTCTTTTGGGAAATTATGTCACAAAAATGAGAACAAGTAAAAGAAGAATGAAAAGGAGGTACAGTCTAGTTGTTTACATTATTTTTGCACAGGACATTTGTTTTTATTCACAGGCAACTTTAAACCTATGGGTTGCTCCTAGAGTTAATCATACTGCATCTTATACAGAAATATTGTTAGCTACCAGGGCTATATTATCAAAAATGTGCCCCTAAATCGTATGCAGAAAGCACAACTGGAAACTGATCATTAACAAATTTCAAACTCTGCACATGAGCAATTACCCATTTTGCACATTCAGTAGCTTTGCAAGCATATTCTGAGAATTTAACCATAGCACTGAACCACATCACTTGTTTATAAACTTTAGTAAAAATCTGCATGCAGGACTTGGGAAAAAATGTACAAAAGCTTTCGTTCTTTAAAAGTCAACATTTATTAAAATAAATAAAAAGTAATTTGCTGCATCAATGAGGCCTCACATTTTAACAAGTTTAAGGGGTTCTGCTTTTTTAATTATATACAGAATCGGGGGAGGGCCTTTAACTTTTGAGGTCAACACAAGCTTTATAAATATGTTACAATGTCATGTACTGCATTAAGAATCTCTATTATTTGCAGTCTTTACAATGGAGCAAATGCTGGTATTTACATTCTTCCAAATGGAAGAACTTCTAAATTCAGTTGTGCAGAAAAACTTTTGCCTTAATTTACTGTTGGTTTTAGTTTACCTAGCAGGTGCCAAAGGAATATTTTCTGCATTTGAACTAGTTCATTCAAAGTTGAGACCAACTGGGAGATGAAAAAGCAAGAAATCTCATTTCCTCTTCCAACAGGTGGGAGAGGATGAGATCTACTAATTCTAAAAACTTGAAGGACACGGGGCCAGATTTTCAAAGGCATTTAGGCACACAGAAGTGCAGATAGGCACCTAGTGGGATTTCAAAAAGTGCATAAACAGGTTAAGTGCCTAATTCCCAGAGATTTCAAAATCTGGCACATGGTGATCAAAAACACTCCATCAATTCACTAGCTACAGCTAATACTTCCTCTATTTAGTAAACCAGTTAGTTTTAAATGCAAAACATGATTTGAGAAACTTTTTTTTTCTTACATATGCAGCACAGTTAAGGTAGTTTTATTTAACTAGTAAAAAACTAATTTAAAATGTTGTTTTGGTTCATTTTAACTGCATTCTAATTTCCATCCAAATTCAGCTTGACACACGTCATGACTAAACAAAAATCATCTAGTAAATGGGAAATGTATCATTCATTATTTTCTATCATAAAAAATAAAAATTAAGATTCTGAATAAATGTCTGTTTAAATAAATATGTATAGATATAGGGTATCCTCCTGGTGAACAAATGGAAATACCAAATTTAATATAAAGGCTGTATTTAGTTGCAGATAAACAAGTTTTAATGATACCAACTAATGAGACTCATCCTTCCTTTAGGAAAACTACTAAAAAATACAAATGCAAAACAAAATTAAATCAAGGTTTCTTGCTTGCTGATTTCTATCACTCTAGTTTAAATCAAACCACCCACCCTAGAGAATCTGGACTCCCATTAAAGCTGGCTAAATCCCCATGTAACTATAAATTTACACCTTAATATCTTAGTATGAATATTAATGGTCATCAAATCCATTTCAAATCTTGTTTACTACATGTAACAAGTTACTCAGTGTTTAGTATGGAACCTCATTACTGTACCTTGGCCAATAATGTCAAGCAGTAATCTGCAGCCATCTAATTGTAGCTCTAGAGAATCTATATGAGTCCTCATTGCACAAGTGACAGGATCCAGAAGTTCTAGCAAACACGTTAAGGCTATGAAGAAAAGAATTGTTAGAGTCAACATTTAATAACTTAGCTGGTTTATATGCCTCCCACCTTCAATACAACATGGAGTTCCTAGTTTTAGGACAGATTTGGGTCCCCGTGCATGACATGGTAAGGCAGAGATGGTTAAACAAAGTTCTTGATCTGAAAGAAAAGCTGTGCATATCAAGATGGAGCATTACACACTGATACCAGTAGTCTTGTGGGCACCTCCTCTGCATTAAAGATAAAAGCAGCCACAATCTTCCGTTTTGTTCAAGTTAGTTGTAGCCATCTTCCTCCTAGGAAGTAGTATTGCAGTTCTTGGTTGGCTACATTCTAAGTCAGTGGTTCTCAACCAGGAATACACATACACCTCGGGGTACACAGAGGTCTTCCAAGGGCTACATCAACTCATCTAGATATTTGCTTCATTTTACAACAGGCTACATAAAAAGCACTAGTGAAGTCAGTACAAACTAAAATTCCATACAGACAATGACTTGTTTATACTGCTCTATAGTCTATACACTGAAATGTAAGTATAATATTTTTATTCCAATTGATTTATTTTATAACTATATATAAAAATGAGAAAGTAAGCACTGTTTTAATAACAGTCTGTTGTGACACTTTTGTATTTTTATGCCTGATTGTGTAAGCAAGTAGTTTTAAAGTGAGGTGAAACCTGGGGGTACACAAGACAAATCAGATTTTTGAAAGGGGTACAGTAGTCTGGAAAGGTTGAGAGCCACTGTTCTAAGTGACATGGGCTAGAATTCTGGTGTGGTAGTGCTGAGAAATTATGCTTTTCAGACTTGAGGGGGGGGGAGATTACGTCACTAGGTTTCTCAGTCCTAGCAAGTCTTTGGGCAGCATTAGCTATTCCAAAAGGGAGCAACAAACTTGTCCAAGGGAACTTAGATGTCCTCTTGGAACCCATTCTAAGCATTCTCAGAGACAGAGCCATCCCTTGGGTACAGCGAATCGGGGCGATTGCCCCAGGCCCACACTTTGGGCCTGCGCTTCGTTAGGAGGCGGGCAGAGAGGTGAGGCGGACGGGTCAGCGGGGTGAGGAGGCGAGCGGAGGGCGAGCAAGGAGGAGCCCCCCTACCAGAACCTCCTCCTCTCCTCAGCGCCTGCTACCCGCTGGCGAGCCCTGCCGATCAGCGCCTCCCTCTCCCTCTCACCGCCTACCACCTGCTGCGGATCAGATGTTTCGCGGCATCAGTAGGTGGGGGGAGGGGAGAGGAGCAAGAGCGCAGCGCGCTCAGGGGAGGGGGCGGAAGTGGGCGGGGAAGAGGCAAGGCGGGAAGAGGTGGGGAGGCGTGGGAAGAGGCAGGGCAGGGGCAGGGCCTTGGGGGAAGGGGGGGAGTGGGGGCGGGGCCTGGGCAGAGCTGGGGGGGAGCACC